CACTGGGTGTTGTGCACAAACAATGAATCATGGAACACTTCATCTAGAACTAATGATGTAATGTATGGGGATTAACATAAGAATAAAAAAAAAATTAAAGTATAGCCTAATGTTATTAGTTTATAAATTTTTAGGACAGATAAAAATAGTCTAATGGAAATGAGCAAGGATAGCACATACACACAGGAATAGAAAATACTCAACAAACATATGAAAAATATTCTCCATCTCACTCATAATTAAAGGAGCTGAAATCAAAAGGAGGTATCTTTTAGATGTTATATTGGTAAAAATTAAAATGTTTCAGTTGGCAAAAGTCTGAGGAAGTAGGCTCATAGACTAGAGGGAAGGGCTGGCATTTTGGAGGACCATATGTCTGTCTCAGTGACAATATACAATCTGCTTAACCCTGTGCTCTAGTGATACTAGACCTTTTGTTTCCATGACATACATATTATAAATTAAAAAAAACCTGTAAGACTTGGAAGAGATAGACCTATATATTTATAGATTGGTGTTTCAAGTAAGCTTTCTTTTGGATGAAGTTTCCCTGCTTAAAAGGAAACCTAACATATTTAAAAGTTCAAAAACCCGTGGAATAGATTATAATAATTCCTCCAAAGTGAAAAATCCCTGGAGCTAAATTTCTGAGCTTTGTGAATGGAGAAAATGGGTTTGGTAGAAAATTAAAGAGCTGAGGTCAGGATTTGCGGGTTTAGCCTTTAAGTTCATATCCTTTGTTTGAAAGACGTAGTTCCTTCCTTTCTGAACCCATAAGAACTTTCTATCAAAAATGTGTCTTCAGCATGCCTGAAATTCCATGTACCCACCTTTTCTCTCTCTCTTTCCACCCACTTCCCTCCCATGGTCATTGGTCCATATCCCCGCCCAGTCCCACATTCACCCTTACAAGGTTACTTACTTCCTCCAGTCTCCACCGGTTAAAGAGTTTATTGTAATTTCCTGGGTGGCCTACAAATCTGTAAAAAGCCATTTTAATTCATTAGCATTTATGTGGGGTTGACTGAAGAACATCTACTAATGCATGGATAGGTAGACATAAATGTTCACTGGTGCATCTTGTCCCCAAACTGCAGACTTTGGCCATGCTTACACATCAAAGTATCTGACTTAAAAAGGAAAAAGTGGTATGTGAATTCAATTCTCCCCCCACCCAATGGGGTGAGAAAGTATAGACAAAACAACCAAAGGAAATTTTCCACTTTCACCTGTAGATCTTTAATGTTTTGTTGACCTAGCTAATGAATATTAATGTAATGTGCTGAGTTCTTTAGTTTAAAATGGTTCTAGCTTTAGTATGTTTCCATGGCATTGGCTGGAGTGTTAAGCATAGTTTAATATGCTTCTTTTTCATTTTGTGCAGCACACATAGGAAAAAATGTTAACATGGTAGGTAGGAGAAATTTCCACACTAAGGAAATGTAACCTAGGGTTATACAAAAATCATTTTCTTATTTAACAAAATCATTACTGATGACCGGATACTCATAATCCAACCCAAGCATGGTACATAGGTTTTATTTTTTTATGCCAACTTTAATTGGTAGTGGCAGCTGGAAGCACTGTACTAAGACTTTTGATGGAAAATGCATGGGAAGGCTGGTTAGCAGTTTTCCAAGGCAGGCAACAAGGATTCACCACCTCTATTAACAAACTGGCAATGGAACTGTTGGCAGTCTTTTTCACTCTGCAAAGATGATGAACATAAATTTGACTTACCTCCCCAAAAAGAAAGCAATATAGAAGATAGAACTATTTAAATTAACAAACTGGAAGAGGAACATCTTCAGAGCAAAGCTGTTTTCCCACTCAGATTCTGTTCGAGGATATTCTAAAAGGAAAACAGGGTGTGTTTACATAGAGGAGGTGAATAACAAGAAATATGGAGATAGAATCAGAAGCCTCATGTTTGTGTTCTGGTTCAGCCATTTACTAGTTCTACGAGGCACTCAGTGTCTCTGAATTCTAGGGTCTGCATCTGCAAAACGTGAATGATAATGTCTGCTATACATACATAGTTGATAAAAGGATCCAACGATACAATCTTCAGACTTTCCCCACAGCTACAAAAATAGGATGCCTGTTATTAATAATGTATAAAGATTTTCAGGATTCTGTCTGCTATTGTCATTTGGAAATAATCAGGTACATTGGATCAGTCCTTGACTCAAACTGTCTATGCTTGAATAGGGACCTAAATTGTCCACAGAGTTCTTTGAAGAATGGATATTTTGCACAGACTGAAGTACAATGGTAAAGAGGAACGAAGACTACCTCAGTCATAGGAGCTAGGCTCCTATCTCAACTTTATACCTAATTTTCTGGTAATCTCAGGTAGATCTCTTTACATCTTTTTTGGGACCAGCTTTAACATTTATGAAACAAGGAGTTCTGGGACGCCTGGGTGGCTCAGTCAGTTAAGCGTCTGCCTTCAGCTCAGGTCATGATCCCAGGGTCCTGGGATCGAGTCCCGCATTGGGCTCCCCCGGGGAGCCCGCTTCTCCCTCTGCCTCTCTATCTCTCATGAATAAATAAATAAAATCTTTAAAAAAAAAAAAGAAACAAGGAGTTTAGGCAAGATGATTTCAAGAACCTGTCTACTCTCACATCTTATGTTTCTATGACTCTTAAAACAAAACAAAATGATGCAAGAGACTGAACTAAAATGGCAGGGTGGACTGTAGCCCCTGCTCCCACCCAGGATCCAAATAATGATAGAAGATCTGTATGCACAGCTAATATATATTTTCATATAATTAAAGAATTCAAGGAAGATAGAAAACAGATGGGATCTGATTTAAGGAAAAGGTGGGCCAAAATGTGTGCATGATCCGGTCACAGAATAGGAATAGGTCCTGGGGGATTCCAAGCCCAACTACAATATGTGCCAGAAGTGACAGGGGTCTGTGGGGCATCCCCAAGGCTGACCGGTGGGTGGGCACTAGTGAGAGCAGCCAAGAGAGCCCACATTCCCCCAGGGTTTTGGTGGGTTGTGTTTTCACGATTGTTTCATCCTAAACAGTTTGTAAATTTAGTACAAAACTTATCTGGAACTGAGAATATGGATTAAAAAAAAAAATCCCCATTGTGTAGTTTGTTTTTGGATCTCCATTTCTAATTTTATTGCATCATGATCCACAAATGTTCCTGCGTGATTTCTGCTTTGGAGCAAAAAAGTTGGTTTCATTTGTGGTCAAATTACTTGGATATATTTTGTCAATGTATTAAGTGTTTGGGAGGAGTAGATATTTTTTGTTGAGCATACAGTTTATATATATTTAAAGAGAAGATTGTTAGTTATGATATTCAAATATTTTATATCCTAGCTTATATTTGATTGTGGATTTGTCAATTTTTTTGGTATTTCTATCATGTTTTGCTTTCTGTATTTTGAAGGTTTATAAAAAGATGTATAGAAATCATGACTATTACACTGACTTGGTAGACTGTTTATCAGTATGATGTATTTCTCTTTCCCACTCAAACAGATCTTAAATTCTGGTTTGCCTAATATTTACATGGCAACATCTGATTTTTTGTTACTATTTTCTTGATATATGTGCTCTTGTTCCTGAATTGACCTCTATGACAAAACTGAAACTTAATTGTTTGGCTTAATTTGTTTCTTGGAATCCATGTTCATTTTTTGTAGATAATTCATACTACGGATACTTTATTATTATAAATAATTTGTTATTTGGACCATAAAACCAAACTGAAAAAAAAACATTACTTTGGATCAAATATTATATATTTCTTCTCACATAAAAAATGTAATAGAATTGAAACTGATTTTTTTTTGGTGACTTTCGAAAATAAAATATTTGGCTAAAAAATAAGTCAAGAAACATAAAGTTTAAAAGATCCTTTAAATAAAAAATGTGTGACCTCTACCAGGAAGTAAAACCTAATTTCTAATTTGAAGCACAAATTTGCACAGTCTAAAATTACACAGAATACAATACCATATATATTTATTATGTATGTACTCATAAATATCCAAATATTAAATATATACTTATTTATATCTATATACACAATGACATTATTTCAAACAAAATATTAATATTTTTGCTAATTTAAATTAATATAGTCCATTCATTATTAATTGTTATGAATCCATAGTCACTATGTCATGAGTTATAGATGGAAAAATCAGATATCAAGTGCAAACTTTGGTTCTCCTGGTACTTAACACAAATAACTGTTCTATTCCTACTATTATGATCCTTCAAATCACTTCCTTAGATTTGCTTCCATCCTGGGTATGAAAGACTTTAAAAGCAAATGAATATGGAGAATCAGAGGTGGAAGAAAGCTTTCAGACATCTAGTTTAAGTGCTTCATTATCCAGCTGCAGAAACTGTAGCTCACAGGGTTTAAGAACAATGCAACAGATCATTACCATTTATTGAACACTTGTCATACGTTGGGCAGCCAATCCACAACAGTTTAGGAAATGTTATCATTCTCATTTTACCAATAACAAAATCTGAGACTCAAAAAAACAAAAACAGAGGAAGAACCAAAGGAAGAGAAGGAGCGGGGGGAATGGGGGAAGGAGGAAAACAAAGAATGGAGAGAGAAAACTTGCTCATAGTCACATAATTTCCAAGTAATATGACCACTTATTTCCAGAGCCTGACCTAGGACCCAGTTCTTCCCTCTACACAATGTTCCTTTTGTTATTACTTGTACTTGTAAATACATTATAGGGGAAGCAAAAGTGGAGTCATATAGTTATTCCACCATAATTAAGTGGACTCTGCCACATCTGGGTTTAAATTCTACTTATTTAACTTATTTTCATTTTCTAATTAATAAAATAGGGATCCTACTGTCATAGAATTGTGATGTCAATAAAACAAAATGCATGAGGAGTGTCCAGCTCAGTGCCTGGGATCTGGTGAGTTTTCAAACAATGAAAGATCACTGCTCAAATTGCTCTATAATCAAAATTTTGTTCCCCAAACCGAGACACCAAAAATCAAGTTTGAGGATAGAGAAAAACAGTTTCAGACACATAAGGTCTCAAGAAATTTACTTTCCAGGCAGCAAAATAAGGAATTAAGTCAAGACAAAAGGAGACAGAAGGGTCCAAAGGGTGGTATCCAACTGAGAAATAAAGGTAAAAGGAATTCCCAGAGCACGGAAGAGAGAAAGCAGTAGGCCCTTGAGAGTGGAGTAAACAATGGGTTCATGAAGGGGAACTCTAAGAAGAAAATAAAATTAGTAGCATGCCTGATGGCTTTGAAAGTATTTAGAGACCATTCAGAGTTGAGGCAGAAAGTTTGGGATAAATTAAGAAAGTATGTAGAAAATTAAAGAAAAAAGTGCTATTATTAGCTTCATGAAAATATAAAGATTGTCTAAGAAAGGAAACAATCATAGTACATACCACGTCTTACATATAAAAATAGTTAAATAGAAACAATGATGTAAACATTAATTATTAATTTGGCTAAAAATTCAAATCTGTTGACTGTAACTACTTTGGAAGGAGGAAAGAGAGTGTGTGGTATAACAGGTGATAGATGGGAAAGTGTGCAAGGACAGAACACTGTAGGGAACGTTAAGACCTAAGTTCTTGTCATTTATAAGGGGAAGGCAATAGCTTCCCAAACCTGAAAAATCCAAGTGTCAGAGAAACATGCTATTTAGAAATACAGTAGGAAATAATGAAAGAAATTGCTAAAATTAAAAAAAAAAGTAGTCTCTCAGGAAAAAGGAAAATAAGAATGGGTAATGTGGCAGAGTATGGGTTTTAATTATACATTTATTTTTTAAAAAAGATTTTATTTATTTGAGAGAGAGAGAGAGACAGCACAAGCAGGAGGTGCAGAGGGAGAGGGCGAGAATTTCAAGGAGACTCCATGCTGAGCATGGAGCCCTATGCGGGGCTTGATCCAAGGACCCTGAGATCATGACCTGAGCTGAAACTCAGGAACACATAACTGACTGTGCCACTCAGGCACCCCTTAATTATAAATTTCTTAACATTATTTTGTCTTTTAAATTATGTATATGTAGTACAATATTTTGATAAAAATAAAAATTGGGGGAAAAACCCAAAGAACTGAAAAGGTAGGGGGAGAAAAGCACTCCCATATAGGGAGAGCTAGGTTTGCTAATAATTTCAAGGAAGGAGATTCTGTAGCTACATGCACTGCCTCTCTATAGTTATGTAATTTGCTCCAACTTCCCATGCATGTCTTTCATTTTGATTGACAATTTACATAACTGAAGTTGACATTAAAAATGCTAGAGTACATAAAGCAACTACAGACTGATATGCCCATATGTTATTCTTTTACTAAGGAGTGAAGTAAAAACAAAGGACTTACCTAAGTTGGTGAGAAGGTAAGCAATTTTTTCATAAGCCTGTAATGAGAGAACAAATAGTGAATGTTATTCTTTCCTCTAGAAAAGGCTGCTATTTACACTATTCAAGGAAACATCTAACGTGTATTCTACAAAGTGGCTACATTTTCAATTAAGCAGAACATGTTTTAAACCTTACTATGTGGTGCTTTACATATATATACAAACTAAATGCATGTGATATAAACATGTTATAAATATATATATATAGAGAGAGAGAGACACACTTGATTTCTGTAAGAGTAAGTCTTTTGGGGTAGCTATCTTTATTTCCATTTTACAAATCAAGGAAATCGGACTTTAAAAAACAAAATTTTTTTGTAACAAAAGTCATTCAACTAATCAATGGCTGACATTGGATTTGATCACTAAATTATATGTACTTTTTACTATGCTGGAAGGATGAGTGAAAGTCTGAATTCGTTACTATTGACAAAGAATTTTCCAAACTAAGAGGAACATAGTGTGATAGTTTGCATTCCTAAAGAACAACAGTGGTTTGGTGGTTATTTAAAACAAGACTGGTTAAGTCAAATCTGTTGAATCCGTAAGTCAGTCACATGCATGATAGTTTTATGGTGAAATTTTTCACATTCTGCCACCTTCTCCCCTGCCCCTAGTACTCAACCCACCACTCATACAGACTTAAGAAAAAGAAACATATTTCACAAAATTCCAAGTAAACCTAGTTGGGAAAACAAATTTGTTACAGACGGAAGGATAGTATGTGTTTGTGGGTATATATGTGTGCATGTAAATATAACTTTATAACCCCACAATTCAACAAGTTATTCTTTATATTACAAATTCCAGTAACTCTGCCTGTTGGCATGCAAAATTAAAAGTAGGTATCTGGACACTCTAAAAGTTGTTCACCTTCTTTCAGTAGAACTATTATGATTATTCATCTTAGCCATGATTTAAACCTACCTCTTCCTCTAAAGAGTTATCTTGAGACAGAAAGATTGTATTGAATATAAAGTCTCATTCTACCTCTTACGCATTTTGTTGTTGCTATTGTTTTTATTTTTAATGATACACACAAACTGCCATTTTCTAATTTTAGAACAAGATTACCTTGAATTCATGAGCACCAAAACTGTCTTGATTGTAACATGTTCTTTTCCATGCCCTGTTTGTTTAGTAAGATGATTACAGAAGGGTCTCCAAGGAGTATAATAGGATAGGTTAACAAATCAACAAATAGTACTTGAGTAGTACTGTACTTCTAGCACCAAATTGAGTGCCCTCATGGGGAATGAAAAAAAAGTTTTACTTAAATAACTGCCATTTCAACTATTCAGCTGGTGGCAAGCGGTTGCTTTATAGATACCATTATTTAATTTAGTCCTTACAACGATTTTATCACGTCGGTATAATTATCCCCATTTTACAGAACAGGAAACCATTGTTTAGAACGTCAGGTACCTTGCCAAAGGTAACACTACTAAACTAGTAGCAAAGTCAGGATTTGCTATCATGGCTCTCTTATACCATTTATGCTATTGTCACAGAAACCATTTCAGCTTTTTGTCCTAATTCTTAGCACATAGAACCTGTCTGCATACCTGTGATGGAAATATCTACAGCTGATGCTCCAATGGATTACAATATCCTTTGGAACGATGTTATAAATCACACAAAAAAATGCTATATCACCCCTGGAAATATTGTTCTTGGGAAACTTTCTGGGGCACTTGAGAATCTGCATCATCTAAAGCTCAGATACTAGCTAACTGGCACCACCACGATGATGATGAGCTACAAAATCAACCCATGCAGATTGACTTGTTAACTCCCAAACCACAAAATGCAGCAAGAAACCGTAATTTAGATATATCCACTGTATGGTGTATGACAGCAATCATGGGCTGTGTGTGTGTGTGTGTGTGTGTGTGTGTGTGTAAGGTGGGAAATGGATATGTATTTGGGGGAGGAGAGAATAAGGGGGGGCAGTTCAGGGACAGTTGTGGTCACTACACTATGTGCATTATATAACTATATATCTATATATCTCTCTATATATATATCATGTTGGGGAACCTATGTTTTTTTTTAAAGCTTTTTATTTATTTATTCATGAGAGACAGAAAGAGAGAGAGGCAGAGGCGGAGGGAGAAGGGACTCGATCCCAGGACCCTGGGATCATGACCTGAACCGAAGGCAGACGCTCAACCTCCTGAGCCACCCAGGCGCCCAGAATCTATACTTCTAAACATCACTCACTAGTGCACTCAGTAAGCTGAAATTCTTAGGCATATGTACTAATTATGTAAAAATATTCATTTGGACTTTCTAATGGGCCACATAGTGAACAGACAGAAATAGTCTCTACTTTAATGGAACTTAAATTCCAGTGGTTAGAGACAAATGACAATTACATAATTGGTCAGAAAAGGGAAAATACAGCAGGCTGTTGTGCATAGAGAAGGGTGGGGGGCACAGAGCATTTATTTTATAGTGTGGTCAGAAAAGCCTCTCTGAGAGGGTAGCATTTGAGCATAGAGATGGAAATAAATCACTAATGTGAAAAAGTTCAGAACCAGCATGGAGTACTTCATTCAAATGTAGTTAGAGCTGCTTTTATTTTTTTGGCTATAGGGTACACATGGTACAGGGGGTTTAAAAATGAGAAGCAGGAAGAGGAGGGGAGCCTGGGTGGCTGAGCTGGTTAAGCGTTTGCCTTCGGCTCAGGTCATGATCTCACGGTCCTGGGATCGAGCACCACAGGAAGCTCCCCGCTCAGTGAGGAGTCTGCTTCTCCCTCTGCCCCCGCCCCCAGTGCTCTCTCACTCAAATAAATAAAATCTTTGAAAAAAATGAAAGCAGAATACCAAAAGGAGTTCATTCTTTTTTTTTTTTAATTCATTTTAGAGAGGGGGTGAGAGGCAGAGGGAGAGAATTATCAAGCAGACTCCCAGCTGAGCACGGAGCCCAATGCCAGCTGGAGCTCACTACCCATGAGATCAAGACCTGAGCTGAAACCAAGAGTCAGATGCTTAACCAACTGAGCCAGCCAGGTGCCCCATGAGTTCATTTTTTTGTTGACAATGTTGAAGTGGTTTAATTGGCTTAATCCCAGATATTGCAAACTACAAATGTACTTCTGTGATGTTTCTATTTTTTTCTTTAAAATTACATGGTAATCATGAGACCAGACAGCTGTCATGCTTTTGTAACCTATTCTTTAATTATTAAGGTTTGATTGTCAAGCAACAGGAATATACATTTTGGAATAATTGTATATTTTTAAATTTCATTAAAATCTTGGAAATATCACCTGACATTAACCATGCTGCTTATGGCACCTTTAAGTAGTATAGCATTTTCAGGGGCAGCAACATAAAGGAAAAAAAGTATGGGATTAGTGAAGAGTAATTTCTGCTTTCAAATTCTGTAGAATTTCAGCTATATGTCTAGCAAGAGGTGTTAAACAAAGTGAAGTTTTAATCATTGTTAAATTTCTTGCGATTTATCTTTGAAAATGTAATTTCTGATCTTGTCTGTGTATCAAATTTACCTCAGATCTCTTAAATCAGTAATTTCCTAATGCTATTTTAGGGACTGACTGGATCAGAATCACTTGGAGGATATTTTTGAATGTTTTGTTTTATATACAGATTTCCCAGCTCCACAAAGGAGATTCTGAATGGGACTCAGGGTTCTCTAGTTTTTCAAGTGTTCCAGGTGATTTGAAGCATATTAAGTACAGGAAACAATCTTTCAGTTACTTTCATGATCTGTAAAATAGACTTGTAATCAAATTTTCATTATTTTCACCCATATTTTTTATCCCAAATTGAATATTTATTTAGGGATACCATGGTCCATTTGTTTTGAAAGCTTAGAGGATGCATATTCTTTAAGTATTAGTTTAAATATCACAAGTGCTGCAAATGTGAAAGACACTGAAAATAAAATTCCATCAACAAAAATAATTCTGAACAATTATTCAAGAGGCTAAGATCTTTGCAACGTGAATAATATTCAAGATGCTAGGAAACTTGGAGAATAAAATACTTAAAATTTATTTGAAGAATATATTCGAAATGTCTTTTAGGCATAGGCAAAGACCGGGGGACACAAAAGTGAGGAGGCCCTGCTGTCAGGAGCTTACACCCTGGGAATGGGAGACAAGGCATGCCCCAAGCACTGTAACAAAGAACATTCACAAGATGGAGCGTTTAATTCCATCAGGGGAGTGCGATAAGAAGGAAGACTAGGCATGTCCAAGCACCTTGTGAGAAGAATAGACACAAAGAAGAGATTATTCGATTCTACATATGGGATCGAGAAAAAACTTCATGGAGCAAGTGATCCTTTACTGGAATTTTCGAAGATAAAGAAATAGCCTCCAAGGAGATAAAAGGAAAAAAGTCAAACAGAGAAAGCACTATGGACCAAGACAGAGCTGTGAAAAAGCAGGATGCCAGGGAGCAAGTGAAAGGGACTTTATAGGCTGGAGTACGGTGTGTGAGAGGGAGGGAGGGAGATCCAACTTTAAACAAGACAAGAAAGGAAATCTGGCTTTAAATAACAGGAGGCCTCCGTGCCTTGCTAATGAATTTAGAATTTATACCAGAGGCAACTGGAACCCGTTAAGCACTTTCAAGTACAAAATAAAATGATCAAATCTGTGATTTAGAAAGATCCTTCTTTTTTAAAAAAAGATTTATTTATTTATCATAGAGAAAGAGAGCACAAGCAGGAGGGGCAGAGGGAGACGGAGAGAATCTCAAGCAGACTCCCCACTGAGCATGGAGCCCAACTGGGGGCTTGATCCCATGACCCTGAGATCATGACCTGAGCCCAGATCAAAAGTCGGATGCTTAACCCACTGAGTCACCCAGGTGCCCCAGAAAGATCCTTCTAAGAGCAGTGTGCAAGGGAGATGAGAAGAGTTGAAAAAGACAGGAAGACTCACCAGTTAGAAGGCTATTGCAATGGTCCAACCTAGAAATGTTAAGTAGCTGAACTAAAGAAGTAGAAGTGAAATGATGAGTAGGGAATAGATAAGAGAGATGTTAT